CCAAAAAGGAAGAACAGCTAGCCAAAAATTCAAAAAGGAATTGTAAACCTTTTTTTAAGTATATCAGAAGCAGTAGGCCTACTAAGCAACCAGTGGGGCCACTGGATGATTGAAATACTAAAGGAGTACTCGAGGACAACAAGGTCGTTGCAGAGAAATTAAATGAGTTCTTTTGCTTTCCAAACCTGAGCCATTCTTTTTAGGTGACAAATCCTGAGGAATTGTTCCAGTCTGAGCTGTCATTAGAGGAGGTTTTGGAACAAATCGATAAACTAAAGAGTAACAAGTCACCAGGACCAGATGGCAGTCACCCAAGAGTTCTGAAGGAACTCAAATATGAAATTGTGGAATTAGTAACTGTGGCTTGTAACCTATCCTTTAAATCAGCTTCTGTACTAAGTGACTGGAAGATAGCTAATGTGACACCTATTTTCAAAGAAGGCTCTAAAATGATCCTGACAATTATAGATCAGTAAGTAATGTCAGTTCTGAGCAAATTGGTTGAAACTATAGTAAAGAGCAGAATTGTCAGACTCATAGATGAACATAATTTGTTAGGGAAAAGTCAACATGGTTTCTGTACAAGGAAATCATGTCTCACTAATCCGCCAGAAGTCTTTTGAGGGGGTCAACAAGCATGTGGACAAGGGGGATCCAAATGGATATAGTTTACTTAGATTTCAAGAAAGCCTTTGACAAGGTTTCTCACCAAAGGCTCGTAAGGAAAGTAAGCTTTCGTGGGATAAGAGGGAAGGTCCTCTCATGGACTGATAACTGGTTAAAGGATAGGAAACAAAGGGTAGGAATAAATTATCAGTTTTCAGAATGGAGAGAGGGTCTGTACTGTTACATATACCAGGCCTGCACAACTCGGAAAGCGGCAAGGGCCATATTACTCCAAAAAAAAACCCAGCTGCAGGCCACAAGTAGGGATGCTCTCCCAAAAAATACCAAACACGCAGGCTAAAAATTTTTGTCGAGCGCAAAAAAAGACAAACAAAAAAACCCACCACACGTGTCTACACTTGGCCCCCTGGCATTTGTCTCTCCTGCACCCTGCCCCTTGATGCCTTCCCCTTTCTCCTGGCCTGCCCCCCTGCCCTCAGCACAAGCCCCTTCTCCTCCCCTACCTGTCTTCTGCCTTCCAGGTTGCAGGGCTGCTGGAGCCTTTTTGAATCTGGCGGTCGCCAGCTGTGACGTCATGATGCCACGTCACGCCAGCGTCCTGGTGTCCTGCTTTCTGGCTCAGCCCCTGTCTTCTCTCACCGGAGCTGCATGCAGGCAGCCCGGCGCGCCCTGTCTTCTCGCACCGGAGCTGCATGCAGGCAGCCTGGCAGCGAGAATCACCGCACTTCCCCCTCCCTGGCGGCACTCTGCTCCTCCGCCTGGCCGGCAGATCGGATGGGGCCACGCTCCCCGTAGCTGGTATGGGCCGCACAGTG